CAGGGTTGAGGATGGGAGATCCAGGGAGCTCACAAAAGTGTCTGTGACCCTTTCCCAAGGGGTTTTGGGAACTTCAATATTTAATGGGGAATTAGCAAGCAGGAGGGAACAAGAGGAGGGGTAAGCAGTGAGGCAAATGGTTACATTATTATGAGGCTCTGATAAGCTTCAGTAAATCTACATTTCACATGTGAAAAGAGGGAGTAGAGGATAAAGTTATGTATTAATCACAGGGTAGGCACAGGGATGTCTCCGGTCTTGATCCTTGCTCTTGCCCTGTGAAGATAGGCTGATAACTGACATTGTCAGGATGAATTTCAGCAGAATTTGGTTTTAGGGCTAGTTTATAGTGGGTAAGTCTTCTGAAAGATTCGGGGGGTTCAAGGAATTTCCTTATGAGGGAGGCGAGGCCATCTGAGTCGATGTGTGACCTTCTACTGTTGTGGAAACGTCTCATCGGTGAGGCTATGACACTGAGCTGTGAAATTACAGCTGTCAGTTTGGGAATAAAAGGAAAGCAGTGTGGCCTGACTCAGTTCCCAAGCTTCACTTTCCCTCTGGCATGGTGAGTTTGGGGTCTCAAGATTTGATTCTGTTTTCTTTCACAAAGACATCTCCCATGAAAATTCATGAGAAACTGAGCATGAGGATAAACCTAGGCGTATCTCGTTTTACCTTCTGAAACAGGTAGGTCTGCCTGTATTTAGACCTGACTTTAATATTTGAAGAATGGATGAAAAAGCACACCCTATTAAAACCCTCCCCCAACCCTCAACATGGAAGTTCAGATATCAACTTCTGAAATACTAAAATAAATATGCCAAAAAACTTTTAGCTCAAAAACATGATTTTTTAAAAATATATCCAAACTGACTGGAAGTTAGTTTTCATACTCAAACAACATCTTTAGTTGTACGAGACAAATAGAGACTACTGCGTGTTTAGGCCTAATTAGACCTGATCCTGTCCTACTGTGGATCTGCCTTAATTGCTGGTGGATTCTCTCTCTCTTAATGAACAGTACACCCTTCCTCTCCCTGAGTGTGTGTCTTGACCACAAACAGAACCCAAAGCATTGACTATAAACCTGTAAATACAGAGAAATAAAGGCTTGTAGGCTTGTGGTTCTAGAAGATACTCATATAATTTTTCTTACAATTTTTTCAATACCAGTTTTTAAATCAGGAATTTATATTTATTCTGCTTATTTCATTTTTAGTAAGAAAAAACACAGCAATAGTTTTAAACTGTGGATATACAAATAAAAATGCTACTTTATAGTATGTCTTAAAGAAGACTATTTTTTATTAAATACTTATCATTGTATACACATTGAATTAAGGCAGTAGAGATAGCTTCTCCAAGCTCCCTTATATTGTTAACATTTAAACAGCTTTCCATACCTCAGGGATATTTTTTAAATCTTATCTCACTTCTATTTTTAGCAACTTGAGAACTAGATATTTTTATTTCCATTTTATAGATAGGAAAATTGAACTGTGCCCATGTGCTCCAACAGGTGCAAACTCCACTTTTATCTGTTTCATATGCTGGACTTACGTGAAATGTTTTGTTTAAATAAAAAGATCATGGCAAAAAATATTTGAAAACCACTCACCTACACCATGCTTTTCTCCACATAAGTACATAGTTAGATTCTTTAGAGCTGTATTACTTCTATTACCAGTAGAGGATAATTTAAATTAATGGAAAACACAAATTTTCTAAAATACAATTAGGTTTAAAATATTCTTTGGGGCTTAAAACATTTTTTTAAACATGTTTTATTGCTTAAATTTAAATTGCTTTGATTCAAATAAAGTTAAAAATGTTTTTTTCTTAGTGGAAAACTTCTAAAATATACCTTATTTTATGCACATATATTAAATATGTTCCTCATACTTTTAAATCATGCCTAATGAGTATTCTAAAGCAAATATATGTGTGTTGATAATAGAGGTTTTACAGTCTAAATTAGAGAGGATAATTGCTTCAAGGCAATATACTATTAAGAATAGGTAGTATTTTACAAACTGAAGCTAATAGTTTTTTTGTAAACTCCGAATGAATTAATAAGTAATATAACACTTGGTTTTATTTACTACATACTTTGTATTAAGTTATGTACAATAAAACATGGCAATACACTTAACTGATAATAACTCTTAAAATGACTATGTGCTATTTTGAATTGATGCTAGCATTTTCTGTGTAAATAACATAGTCATAGTAGAATTTGTCAGGGTGGAGGATTGGGTGGGAATAGGATAAGGTTAGTCCTACTATATATAACTACTTTTGTGTCTTTAAGGAGGAATGATTCAGTTTCTCTTTCTTGAATAAGATGTTCCTTCTGTGAGCGAAAGAGACATGTAATCACTTAATATAATTTGAGAAGTTTCTTTTAGCGCAGCATCTTGTGCTGACACTTTGAACTTCTCGGAAATAAAGTGTGGGTAAATAAGGAAAAGGGAGGATTACTACTCTACAAAAAAATAAATATACACATGCCTCAAAACTAAAGTGATTTATGACTTACATCTTAAATACTGCTGCACCTTCTAGTAAAAATGAGCAAGAGATACAGAATTGTTATTTTGTAAATTTACCAGCATTTACTTAGTATGGTGCATGGTATATAAATTAATCACATTATGACCTTCGTAGTTGCTGTGTTAGAAAGGAAAGGTAAAATTATTTTTGTAAAAACATATTGCATACTTTTACTTCTCGTTTTGTAGTATGATGGCAAAATGTTTTGGTTTTTGTTTCTTAAAAGCAGGTTTTCTAAGATGCCTGATTTTTGTCCGATTTCCTTCTTCAAACTATTGGAGAAGCAGAATATACCTAGCAATCTGCTTTACACACTTGAGTATGGAAAGAGGGTTACTTTCAACCAAAAACATCAAAGAAAGAAAAGTGTTTCCATAAAGTAATCAAATCATAGCTTCATTCTGAAGAATGCAGGCATATTATTTAAAATAATGAGTCAGTTGACAAGTCAATGAAGTTGATTTAGAGCTTTCAAGATTTGAATATAAACAATCAGGGTTGGGGACATTGAAACAAATATGCAGAAAAAGCCATCATAAAAAGCACCGAAATTTTGCTTATTTGTTATTCATGATAGAAAATAGAGAGGTCTGGGTGAAATTGCCAAAAGTGAGCTGCAACAAAGCCAGAAAAGATTGGTGACAAAGTGTGTTGTAGAGATTTATAAGAATAACTGTGTCTACCGCATTTTTCCTTTGCTTTGCAATTTTTCCTGGATTGAAAACTACTTAAACTTTCAATCTCGAATAGTAAGATATCTTATTTCATTTTATTTCCATTGTTTAAAACAACAATTTGGTGCTGAATTGTGTCTATTGTTATATTCCCTGGAATGTGTGTATTTATGTATTTGCACACACAAAAATATACATATTTAGATGATCACAAAGTGTAGTTCAAGATTCAGACAAAAACTAAATGAGCCTTTGGGATTGATGGATTTTAATCACATAAAAGTGATGGTTATTCTATCAGAGTGTTATTAAAAAACAAACTGCCCATTGTGTATTGTTTACTTCCTCAATAGCTGGTAAATGAATAAATTCCCAGGGCCTTTTATGATATTCAAGGTTTATCTTCTCCTTTGGTTCTTGTTTGGGTACTGTTTATTATATTCAAGCACCAGAATAGCATTTGACACTAGTAAATATGCAGTAAATGGTTGCCACTCTTATTTCAGATCCTACCATGATCTAAGCCCCAGAAAATGAACAAAAGAAGCAATCTGATATCCATGGGGAAAATTGAGGATAAAGCATATACATATGTAAACACACAAAAAAAATTGAAGATTATTTAAAATAAACACTCAACTTAAAGGAAAAGTAGTAGAAATTGAAGTTTGCTCTGTGTATATCTAAATATATATTGTAGAGTGTATAGCTTAAGTCTAGATGAAGAACTTTCTCTACTTCCTCTCATGGTTCTGAAGTTTCTGAAAATGGCATCAAACTGCACTTTCAAGTCTGACAAAGGAAATATATCAATTCATTTTTTTTTTCTTTAAAATTCTCTTTGGAGCAACATCAACCAGAAACCTTTGTAATTGGTCAAGCTTTCTTTCTATAAAACCACGCATATGCACCCATTCTGAACATAAAGGATGTTCAGAATGAGGCCATACGTCCCCACTGGTTAAGCAGTAGACCAGTTGGCCTCTGAAAGAAGTGAGCATAGGAGCAATGGCACTGACAAATGCCTTTTGTCTGCTGTGCAGAGGCACCGTGGATTGCATCGTGTTAGGCTTCATCAGTTACCTAATGCAATGTAACTTGGGAGATAAGATAAATCAGAGGGATGACACCATATTAGATTTGAAAGATGAGAGCTCTTCCAAAGTAATTGCAGAGTGTATAAACGCTGTTGACTTCAGGAGGTTATTGAAGTCAAAAGTATTTGTAACAAAACGAGTCTTTCAAGAGCTGGTAGCAAGTAAACAGAATCCTGCTTTTTTTTTTTTTTTTTTTTTTTTCCAAACAAAATTTCCTAAGAAAAGGTGGAATTCTCCTTTGTATGTTTGTTTTATAGAGCTTTCATATTTAAGCTCATTTATTATTATATTACCAGCTTAGGTATTTACATTTTCTATGCATCTCATGTGCAAATGTATATTAAAGCACAGGAGATAAATTTTACTATTTAAGAATGTTTTTATCTATTGCTAAATTGTTCTGAGTGTAAGTGTCTAAAACTAACTGAAAAGGATTTTTTAAATAATATTTATGACTATATTAGCAAATAATATTTGTGACTCTATATTAGCAAATGACTCTTTTTTAATTGTTACCTAAATTTAACAAATTGTTTCTTATTAAAGTGGTATTATTTCCTTTTTAAAAAACACTAAAACTTTGCATTTTCTATTTATTATATGAAATGTCATGAATTTAATTTTGAAATTGAGAGTTTGAAAAAAGTTTTGTAATTGATTCTCTTTTCTTTTGTAGCCTACTGTGTGTGAACGGGAGCTGTGTGTGTTTGCTTTTCAAACCCTGGGAGTAATGAATGAAGCTGCTGATGAAATAGCAACTGGAGCTCAGGTAGTAACATAGGATGCTAATTATTTCTTATTTTGCTTTGAAAAATTGTTCCAGTCCACTAGTTATCTTCATTCTGCTATTCTTTGGAGGAAATTTTTGATAACTTCTTGTTAAGTGGCAAACTGGCATTTGATATTTTTTAAATATAAACTAAATGTTCTCTCATTATCTAATGTGTGTTTTGTCATTTTGCAATTGCCAGGGAGAGAAATTAAACCAAGTTTCTATTGTAAGAAAAATAATTGTAATTTCTTCTTACATGGTGGAGATATTGAAAACCTCATGCATGCTTTACGTAAAATTTATTCGTAAAGATATAGTGCTATAAAATGGAAGCCAATTTATTTTTAAAACTTAGGTGAAAAGATAAGAGGCCCAATATGTAATAAAAAGAGAACATTCAATTTTACAGTAGCAGGGTTTATGAGATAGGAAGAAAAGCAATCCATCAAAATTTCAAGATATTTTTCCCCCTTAGAGAACGTGACTAAGCTACTAATTCATCTGTAAGAAAAAAAAAATCAAAGAAAACCTCTAAAAATTAATGAACGTTAATTAAGAGAGTCTAGACCAACCACATACAGAAACATATTATATGCTGTACTATAACGTTTTAACAAAATATAGTATTGGCAAAGAGTGGTATGGCAGATCAATGGCCCCCAAAATGGATCAGATTATAAATAATTTAATATATGTTAAAGTAGGTATCACCTCCTCACTTACTAAAGGATTGTTTAATAAGTGAAGTGGAAACAAATGTCCTGTAACAGGGGATTGAATTGGTTTAGCACTTTACCTTACAGTGTGTGTAAAAACAAATTCCAGATAGCTTAATGAATACCTAGTTTAAAAAAAATTATATACCAATACAAACTATAGGACAGTAAAATGGAGCATATACAACATGAGGCAGTGCATCAGGCTTATGAAGGCACAACAGTTAAGTAATACAGATGATACCCTAGAGCTTAGGAATGTGTATATCCCTGAGCCTCATCATTTCACTGATTAAAACTGTGATGCATCCACCTGATGAAATATTTAGGGCAATATTTTTCATATAATTGAAGTATAAATAAAAAACAAATACAAACAGCAGAAATTTAGTTTTATGTGATGTGAAAAAAATCATGTTTATTCCATGATTAAAATAAACTTCTAAACTATAGCTTTGTATTCCCTGCCCCCAACACCCCCAACATGCACACATTTGCATTTTAAAGGCTCTGACTGTCCCTAAAACTAAGACAATAGCTAACCTATACTTAGAGGGTTACTAAAATGCGTCTGACCATGGAGAGTTTTTTTCTTTTTCATCCTTCTTTTTTAAACCTGAAAGGTTTTCTTGTCCCTTGGAAATAATATTGCTAAAAGGAAAAAAAAGGCACTTTAATATATGTGATATTTATAGCTATGTAAAAATATTAAAACCTTACAAGGATATGTTGTATAAATATACACACGTGTATATTTATATAAATTTATGTATATGCATGTATATCAAAAATTCTTCAATCAGTATACTTAAAAATTTGACATTTTACTGTATGCAAGTTTCCCTTTAAAAAAGAAATAAAAGGCTAGAAATAGTAAATGATCAATTAGAAGGAAAAGTTAATATGCTAACAATATGGTATGTCGATAGAATAATAGTTGGCTTTTTAAAATCGTTGTTACATCTTAAAATTAATGGTTTTGAATAGAAACAAATTTTAAATTATATAATGATAGATACAAAGCACAAGTATTTGATCAGCTCAAATTAGTGATTTAATTCTAAAGATCAATATCCAACAATCAGAAAGTTTAATAAGTCTACTCCAAAGACAGCATTTTTTCACACTTTATTTCTTAAAACATGTTCCCCAGTATTCTGGTCATAATTCTAAAGATTAAAACAAAAAGAAACCACGTCAGTAGTCTCATTGCCTCAGTTTACCCCCACATTTTGAAGTGGTGCTCTGGGGTCTGCGAAGACATTCCTCAGGACCGCTGCAGAGGACTAACCTGAACAACAATGTCCTGTGGTCCAAACAGGACAGAATACTTCAACAGAATAGTTCCATTTTATTTGTTTAGATATTGGGCTCTCAGCTAAGATTTTTTTTTAAATTACTCTTGCAATGTTGGACAATGATTGGTTTATAATTCTGAGTCCTCATCTTTTTTAGACTACATTGTAGGCTGTTCCTGTAGGTGCCTTTCATAGTCACATGGACTTTCAGTCAATAGAAGACTAACGACTAATGACTAAATGTTTCTCATTTGCAAGAGCTTGGTGGCCTTTCTTTCATGTCTGAAAGGGGTGTGGGTGGGGAGGGTTGCTCTGCAACTTGAACTGTAGATAATGTAATGAATGTCCTTTGGAGGCACCAGATTCTGTAAATTTACAGACCTTTTTACCTTCGCTCATCAAATGTCCTAATTTTTTTTTACTTAAACTTAGTATTTCTTTGCATTTCCATACTAAGTATCTTAGTCAACCTCCAAATTGCTTCTTCAATTACATTATTCAGTCAAAGAAGGCAGATATATGAGTGTAACTTGTTGCCTAAGGCATGCATTATATATACTAAGATACTATTTAGAATCTTTAATTTTAAATTTTGGGAGTGAGGAAATATATTATTTGGTCCAAAAAAAAAAAAAAAAAGAAGTCATAGTTGTATGCTCGCTTTTATATTTTATTTTCTTTTAATTCTTTTTGTTCCCCCTAAAAGAGTCTCATTCTGTCACCCAGGCCAGAGTGTATTGGTGTGATCTCAGCTCATTGTAACCTCTGCCTCCTGAGTACAAGCGATTCTCCTATCTCAGCCTCTGTAGTAGCTGGTATGATAGGCACACGCCATTGCACCCAGCTAATTTTTATATTTTTTTTGTAGAGATGGATTGGCCGTGTTGGCCAGGCTGGTCTTGAACTCCTGACCTCAAGGGATCCTCCCACCTCAGCCTCCCGAAGTGCTTAGATTACAGGCATGAGCCACCATACCCAGCCTCTCTTACATTTTTATTTATTATTTATTTATTTTTGAGATAGGGTCTCACTGTGTTGTCCAAGCTGGTCTTGAACTCCTGGGCTCAAGTGATCCTCCTGCCTCAGCTTCCCAAAGTGCTGGGATTACAGGTGTGAGTCACCACACCCAGCCTTTTATTTTTTAAAGTGGATGTTTTAGTCCATGAAATATTTAGAAAAATTAAGATATGCAAAGGAATATAAATCCAAATTGTATTATAAATGTTTTTCTTCTTAAAAAGTTTAATGCTAGTTTCTTTAACAGATAAACCATAAAATCACAGCAGCTTAACATGGTAGCATTTTGTCATTCACACACTCCAGTTAGAATGTTTGATGCGCCGCTTTCTGTGTGGTGACTGGGGAAACTGGACCCCTTCCATCATGTGGCCCTGCTGTCTTTACTATATGGCATATAGTAGAGAAAGTGAGGAAGGCATTCCTTTTTTCAAATCAGGTCAGCCCCTTTCCACTGATCATCTGTTGAAAGCCAGTCATAAGACTTTATTCAGATCAGATGCAAAAGTGGAAACATCCCATGCTGAGCAGCTGCTTCCAAGCATTAGCTCTTTGTCCTGGAAGTGAGCAGGGAGTTTGAAACTTTGGTGCATGCCATGTAATTGTGCCACAGTAGTTACACTTTTTAAATTAAAGTTAGGCTAAGACATACATTAACAGAAATATTCTACCAATTACATTTATTACCCATTATTACATTATAATTTACTTCAATACACTAGTAAAAATATTGCTCAGAATTACAATGGACTTTTATAAAGCTTCAATTGCATAGTAGGACATCATTTTTAAAGGGTTTTAGTGAGAGTGTATCCATCTGTGCCATTCCCCTTCTCCCTACAAGGTCTCAGAAAAGGCTGTGTTATCTTACTGATTCTTCTTTGTCAGGAGTTCTTGTTTGGGTTTTCATTAGAGAACAGATAATGCCGAAAACAATCTGTATTGGGGTTAATGTGCATCTCTAGGGTAGGAGGAATGTGAGTGTGGGAGAGGAAAACAAAAATGAGGGTGTTATGTCCTTATGTTTACTGCTTGGAATATAACTTCTCACACACACACACACACACACACACACACACACACACACACACACACACACACATAGTATGCATGTATTTATATACACACACATAAATAATGTGTCAGGAACATTAGCTGTTTACATTCTAATGTTTTCTGAGTGTGCCTTGTGGATATGCATGTCTGTGTACTCAGGGCATGTTATGTCTGGTGCCTTGTGTGTTGATTGCTAATTATTCTAGGTCACTGGAAATTCTGGATGCTGTGATTGGGTGGGTGTGTTTTGTGAGTACCCATGCAACATAGTGAGCCCTATGTTATTAGTCACAATACTCTTCTCTTCAAAGCAGGGTAATAAAAAATTGGCCCACTCTTACTGTGCATTTTTTGAATGCCTGTCTAAAAACTGTCTAGAAATAGCTTTCCTTTCAAAGATATATGTATATATATTTAAAATCTGCTGCTTCCTCATTAAGTCACTTGTATTCACACTGTAGATAAGTCTGTTCAGGTTAACTCCCATTATTTAGACAGTATCAATTTTCTTTATTAGGTGTCCAGAATGTATTTTTTTGAGGACTGGAAAGGGGAGCTACGCTTTAAGACTGCTATGTAGTACTACCTCTTAGTAGATTGTGCAGACGAATCATAACGTAGGAATCTAGCCATTATCTTTAGCCAATCAAAGGTCATTGGTGGCATTTGACAGAGGAGAATAGGAAGAGGTCAGATGATGTCAGGCAGTTTGCTTCCTGGAGTATGCCAAAGTCTTTTCCTGCACATGGGGCTTCCTAAACCTGCTACAGTTTCTCCCCAGGTGGTCACATGTCTCCTTCCTGGACCCCACACAGGTCTCTGTTGAGATTCACCACCTTTCCTAGCCACTCTAAAACAGTGCCCCCGTCTGCATTATTCTCTAGGGCCTACTTTAATTTTTTTATAACATTTAACAGTACCAGGAATCCTACAGAATCATCTCTTGTTTAACTGATATTTTATTGTGTATCTTCTCCCTTAGAATGTAAAGTTCACCAGAGCAGGGACTTGTCTGTCTTGTGCCTTGTCTTCCCATAGGGCCTAGAACAATGCTAGCATATAATGTGTGCCCTTGAAAACGAGATACTAACTTGTGAGTAATGAGAGGCAGCACATGTTTGTTATTTTAAATTGATGGTCAAGTTTGGTCAAACGTACTCTCAAGTCTTGAATTACTCATTTGAGAGATTGGTAGAGCCCTGGATCCTCCTTATTAACTTCTGCTACCGTGAGAGGAAGAAACAACGACAAAGCACTGGATGAAACTTGAAGAGTAGTAACTGTCTTATGTGTATATTTCAAGGTGGTAGATCTACTAGTATCCATGTGTAGGTCTGCATTGGAATCGCCTAGAAAAGTTGTGATTTTCGAGCCATATCCTTCTGTGGTAGATCCTAATGATCCTCAGATGTTGGCCTTCAACCCCAGGGTAAGTTGTTATCCTGGCACATCAATCACAAAATTTTCTTTAACAATAACAACAAAATTGAGATTGTAGCCTCATTGGGTTTCCTCTTTCTATCTAAATCTCTATCTCATCAAGCATGTTCATGACTATTTTCATTTCATCATATATTTTTGGGGATTCGACTTATGTAAACTCATTTTAATTTTAAAGATCATGGGTAAAGGGACAAGTTTTCCTTTCTTTTCTGCATTCTCACTTCAACCCTCCTTTCCCCTTTCCCTTCTTACCCCCCAGCTATCTGAAGGTTAGTGAAAGTTTAGTTCATATTGTTAATGGACCTGCCTTTCTTAAGGTAGCAATTTTATAAATGTTCCTGAAGATAAGGCAGAATCCTTTTGAAATTGCAAAACTTTCAAATTGCCTAAAAGCTAAAATTGCCTTGGTTTGTATTCCTACTCAGCTGGAAATAATTTTATAGAACAAACTGTATAAAATTTTCTTGGAAGAACTTTCTTCTTCATAAATGGCAACAGTACACATATTTAGATCTTGCTTGAAAACAAATTGTCAGCTTCATGACTGTATGCTGTCATTTGCACACTCTTAGCCATACTCTTTTGTTAACAATATTCCAATCAAAAGAAAATAAAAGCAAATGTGTAATTTGGACTGGGTTTTTGTGTTTTAGAAGGATTCTGTGTTGACTTTATTCATTATGGCTTAGTGTTTTAGTAGTGAAAACCTCAATCAGGAGCCCCGTAACTTTTTTGTGTTTCTAGATTTTTCTTCCATGGCTAAATATGATTCTTTATACTTATAGAAGGATTGGCATTGTTTTCTCTGTTTCTTCCCTCTGACTCAAGTCCTTGAGCCATCTTACGGCAGTCTTGCCTCTTATGTACACAAAACAGTAATTGCTTTCAAATTGACCCCATTGGAAAATTTACATATGAAACTAATATATTTCTCTAGTGATATGTAGACTTGCAACAACTTATAAGCAAATGCTGTTTTTTAACATCACTTTTTCATTAAACAGAAAAAGAACTATGATCGAGTAATGAAAGCACTGGATAGCATAACTTCTATCAGAGAAATGACTCAAGTAAGTATGTCATCTGGTCTTGTACAGTAGTATATTTTTAAAATGTCTGAGAGTTCTAGCTATGTAGTGAAATGTAGACTTTTCTATTGTATTGGGTGTAATTAAAATCATTTCAAAATCTGTGCTGTATTGAAATGTTTTAATTAAATCATACCAGTGTATTATCATGTAACACTGTGACTTCAGGAAAGTAAGTGGATAATTATAAGATAATTATACTTATCAAACTCAGGCAAGAGCCGTGGCTACATGTAGATATGTCGGGATGTTTTAAGGCAAAGGTTAAATATGGTACCATCTTCTTAGACTATCAGTTTTAATTGATGGTAGCAATTTCAAAACATTGAGTATTAAAATAAAATCAGAAATGTTCTTTAAAATGGAAATTTCCCATAAATATTTTATATAACGCAGAATCCCAAAACCACTTTGGAAGATGCCAGACTGCCGTAGAGTATGGGTTTATGTTTTTGGTCACTGAGGGAGGCTTTGGTGGAAAAGTTTGATGAGGAAGGATCGGGGTTTGCTATGAAAATCTTATACACCCCTGGGCTATAATCAAGCACTTGGAAAAGCACACACTGTTGAATTATTGAGGCCCTTCCACTGCCAAAGACTTGGAGAAGGTTTAAAACTCCTCATTGTAAGTAGAAATTAATAATCTGAGATTAACAACACATTATGTGTGCAGCTTTTATTGCCCTAGAGACCATTGTAGGCTTATAATGAGTATTACCCTGGGTCCTTTATTTTCTCTGGGGAGGGAATCCTGGGACCCTCCTGTTCCTGTCCCAGGGCTCACTAAGCTTTCTCTCCCCCCACTGTCATCTCTAATCCTCTACAGGAAGACAATATTCAAAAAGTATGTTTTTGTATTTCCGTTTTGATTCTTGATTCTTTTGATCATCATTTATTCATGTAGTCAAATATTCATTCATTCACTCAATAAATAGTGTGTGTCTGGCAAATAGTAAACAAGAAATCCTTTAATTCACAGGTGCTATTATTTGCTTAAAAAACCACCTTCCCTTCGGGTTGTTTTTCTATGCCAGTACCTTTCTGAATTATCTGAATTCTTTCTCAGACATGCACTCCTTATTTGTATAGGGAAAGAAAACAATAAAATGCATTTCCATTTAGGAGAAAAAAAGAACATATTGCAATATCTTACAGAAAGTTATATAAACATTTTTAGCCATGAAAAAGACTTTGGTAAAAGGTATTTATACTATACCCTAGACCCTGATTATTCTTGGATTTAAAAATAGCTACCAACTCTGACTCTGGAATCAGCTCTCTGCCAAAAACTGCTTTCTTTATTCTGGGTCATGTGTAAGCTATTTTAATAGGAGGCAATGTACACAATTGAGCATCAGCCTAGGAAGTTAGAGGCCAACATTGTATAACTGACTTGTCAATGAATGTGGCCTGTGACCTTGGCGAGGTGCTTAATTGCTTGGTGCTTCACTGTCAAGATGGAAATAGTGCTGCTGCAACCTCTTTCAGTGTGTACTTCATAGGGATGCTCTCAGGGTTTATCCTGTCAAATTCTTTAAACCTTTCTGAATAAATACAACATTATACTGTGCTGTTTTCTAGAATGTACTGTCCTATACATAGCCCTAAATTGTCACAGAGAGATGGCTCTTTGTTTTGTGAAATGGTTGTCTGGGTAAATCCCATTAAACACTTTTTAGAGAAAGATTTGTCTTAGGTAAATTGTGCCCAAGTTTTTAATGTAAAGATCTATACCTAAGTCTGGACCTTCAGATATGAGCATGAGTGTAGCTCTCACAAACTTTGCTTTAATATTAGTTATCAGTTAAAACAGTCATTGTCAAAGAGAATCTTTACAGGACACTTGCAAAGATGGCAAGACAAGTTTATTCAGAGCACTGCAGCAGGGGAGAGAGACTGCAGCATAAACTGAACTCATCTCCAGGTTTTTAAAGGTAGAGAAGAGGAAGCAAAAGGGGCTACAAGTAAGTGAAAAGGCAAGGAAAAGAAGATGGGACTAGGAGAGTTATGTAAAAATGGAAAGTTACAGAAGGGGTTAAGTGGAGAATTACCAAAAATGGTTTGGCGAAGTGGGCTGGTACAATATACATTTTGTGGTTTGGCTGCATCGTGTTTTCTTGAGCAGAAACTCAACAGGGCACTGGAGAGTGGTCATCTTTAGGGACATAGCCTAGTGTAAATGGAAGCCAGGCTAGAATCCGGACAAGTCTTTTAACACAGTGTTTGGGCAAGTCATTTTTGTGGTATGGAAGCTCACGGTTCCCATCATCTTGAGAGAAAAGGCTACGGTAATTGTCGTTGTTCCCACGTTAAGTCCATAGATTTTTAAATCTTACTAGCTTAGACATATTGTTCTAAGGAATTTTTATGAAAAATCAAAAGTATAATGACTTTTTTTCAGGCACCTTATCTGGAAATCAAGAAGCAGATGGATAAACAGGATCCCCTTGCTCATCCCTTACTGCAATGGTATAAAATTTTAGTTTTCATCTTAATGAAGACAGCATCATTTTCTACTGCTTGCTTTAAGAGAGAAAAAAAAAAAAAGCCTGTCTTACAAACCCTGCAGTGCTACAGTTCTACAAGCTTAGGAGACCTGGTGATTTTACAACCTGAGAGTCCTTAATGACTCTCACTTTAATTAAATCTTATACATCACAAGGGGAGGAGAATGCTGTCACATGCACTACCTGGGATAAATAGTGCATTTGACAGCAGTTTGCCTATAGTTTTAAAAGATGTGATTAACTAGATTATGTGGCAAAGACATTTTGGTTCATTTAATTTTCTAGTTCAGTGAGGACTAAGTGATGAAACTCAGTGTTTCAACCTTTATTATTGAAATCTAAGCTAAAATAAATGTTTTTTATATGTTGCTCCCTTAACAAGGGCAGTATAAATGTGATTAACTCTTTGCTTGCTCACTGCAGAAGATGCATAGTTTCAGAGTGAGCCAAGTGATGGATGTAGTGTTAGCCCAGCGTGAATTCGAGGAGGAGGGCTAGACTATGAAGAGGAAAGGTGGTTTGAGAAGTCACCTTGCTGTGATGCCCATTTCAAATAATTTGCCCTCTTCTACTTCAAGTAATTTCTCCTCTTGTTTCTCATTTGCAAAATGAAGACACTGGTTTCTACTCAGCATTCCTTATACGGGTTTTATATACATGTCTCTTTTAACTTTGAAAACTCCAACTCCATGAGATTTACCATACAGAAATACAAATGTAAGGCTTGTAAGAGATTGTTATGAATGAGCACTCATTCCATGCTATGACCAGGAAGTTTTAAAAAACATGTAAAGGTGGGCAGAGGCAAAAGAACCTGGCTTCCTCAAGATTCTGATTACTTAACTTTCACTTCATTAAAATTTTGTAATACACATTTAATTTAGCTTAACAAGATTATAACAAAAATTAGATATAGGCCGGGCACAGTAGCTCACGCCTGTAATCCTAGCACTTTGGGAGGCCGAGGTGGGTGGATCACCTGAGGTCAGGAGTTCAAGACCAGCCTGGCCATCATGGTGAAACCCCATCTTTTTTTAAAAAAATATATTTTTAAATAAAAATAAACAAAAAAAAATTAAATATTTTAAAATTTATAAATTTATAAAATTTATCTAAAAAATTAGATGTAGAAGCCTTCCCTCTTTGTATATGTTATAATCTGTTACTAAATTCTGATACATTAAGTAAAATAACACTAAATCTCCATTGTAACCTTTAAGTTTTTCTCATTGTTATATTCAGATTGAAGGTAAAAATTGCAACTATCTAGTTGCTTTCTTTTTTTCCTTAAAGTCAGACGATTAACTTTTAGTTCTGGTGATCATTTCCTTCAGCTTGTTAGTCACTCTTTTTTCAAGATAAAGAGAGTCTACCAAAACTTGATGTACTTTTCCCTACTTATTATTTTACGTGCTGAAAGTATAAAGCAGTTCCTTTCAGATACTTGAATTTAATTTTTTTCAATTGCAGTGCCTATGTATGTTGGATTTTTATATATAAACCACTGTATATATCAGCTCAAAGAGACCCTCACATATTTAAAGAAAAAAAGTCTTCATGAGAACTTATCCTTAATTTAAGCAGTGTACGAGAGGAATAAAAGAAGCAGATCCATGAATCGCTGTTCATCTTTGTATTTGGATTATCATTATTTGAAAGTACATTCAGAAATATTCAAATGTTCATTTTGCTGATACTTGAGGTTGTGCTTATTAAAAACTATGTCTTAGGTTTTAGGAAACTACTTCCCAGTGTGTTTTCTCAGATTAAAATATTACCTTTTTTGTTATATAAGCTCTTTAAATTGTTTCAAGAAGCAAACCTAAATTGTGCAACTAAATGAAATTATTTCTAAGTTTAGTTTATGGAAGAGCAAAAATAAGTTTTAATTACTTGACAGCTAAGAAAAAGAACTTTAAATATATTTGGCTTATATTTGTGACTAATGGATCATTTTAATTTCAGGGTGATATCAAGTAATAGGTCACATATTGTGAAACTGCCAGTTAACAGGGTAAGTTGTTTCTTTACATATGCATACAGAAATGGGAGGAGTACTTATCATTTGGGAAAAGTGACCTCGTGAGTTGTAGGCAGCCTCTCCAAGAACTGAGTAAAACCAGGTTAAATCTAATTATTTAGTTTGTAATAGCCGTTTGTTCACTAGCTCCAAGCCTTTCCAAGATAATAAATTCATATTCAGGCTGTTTCAAGTAAATAAAAACATCAATATGAAATCATTTAGTCATTCCACAAGCAATAGAAAAATATTATCTGGAGATTGATCAGAAGGAAGTTAATGTGCTTTGTAATCACTGTCAGTTTCATGTTGGCACATTTCCACTTTTCTATAGCTGAGAAGCTATTGACCTCAGCTTACTTATCAGCCTAGTAAGCTTAAAAAATAATAATTTGTAAAAAGCTATTAGACTCTGTATTTCACTTCTGATCATCACCTAAGAACTGTATTAAAAATCTCATTTTCACCATCTATGAGTCTCTAAATGTGAGATTCCTATGTGCTATTTTCCTGTATGGCTATATTCCTTAGAAGATGTCATCAAGCTATTAATCTAAAAGATTCTGCTTTTCATTTCTTTCCATGACCAAGGGAGAGACTATATTTGAATGTAGGCAAAAATTCCCAATTTTATAAATATATGTAAATAAAGCATAAGAGAATTTTTGCAGTTTATAAACTTTTCTGCTTAGCAAACTCCAGAATATTTCTCCAGTTGAATAGCTAGTATATACTTATGGACTCAATAATAAAAGGCTTAAAAGAAATGTAATTATGAAGGCAGATCTGCTTAAATATGATTGCATACTGTATTCCAGAGCTAAGTATAAATGACTTTGGATTGTCTGTTCCCTATTCCTTTCCCATTAGTCCAAAGAATTATTCTTTGTATTTGTAATTCCATGTGACTTATGATTTATGTCAAGTTTTAAAAAAACTTACACAAATTAGCTTGCTAATGTGGTTTGTGTAAAATTACTATAGTTTGAAAGTGGGTAACTCTTAAACCAATAAAATTTGCAATTGTCTTCAGCCTGAATATATGTTAAGTTTTACATGTTTTTGTTTGTTGTTATTTTTAAATGGCAGCAATTGAAGTTTATGCACACTCCGCATCAGTTCCTTCTTCTCAGCAGTCCACCAGCCAAAGAATCCAATTTTAGAGCTGCTAAAAAACTCTTTGGAAGCACCTTTGCATTTCAGTGAGTAAGGCCTAATGTTAATGGGGGTGTGCTCCACCCAGTTTTCCAGAAATGTATGGGGAAGATATCACTGTCTTTCAGTGAAAAGTCGTTCATGTTGAATGGTCATTCATGTTGAATAGTCAACTACATAATACTTGATTTGGCAATCCAGAACCTTAAAACGGCATCATGACTTATTATGTTGTGACCCACTTTGAAGATAACTGATTTTCTGGTTTTGCTTTTTTCTTTCCATTTTTTTTAGTGGCTCACACATTGAAAACTGGCACTCCATCCTGAGGAATGGTCTGGTTGTTGCTTCTAATACACGATTGCAGGTAAATTTTCTGAATGCTATTTAATAAGACCTCATTCTTCTTCAGAATTGAGATTCAGCACACAACCCTGTTGTTGGGTTTTTACCTGCAAAAGAGGAAGCATGTGAGCTTTAAAACATTATATGGAATTTTTAGTAGGCATACTAGAACTGAAGCAGAAGTCATCTGTACACGATGATCTAAACCCAAAACCCAAAATGGATCATACAATGGAAAGAAAGAGAAAGACTGGTCGCAGTGGCTCACACCTATAATCCCAACACTTTGGGAGGCTGAGGCAAGTGGATCACTTGAGGGCAGGAGTTCGAAACCAGCTTGGCCAACATGGCAAAATCCTGTCTCTACTAAAAATACAAAAAAAAAAAATTTAGCCAGGTGTGGTAGCGCATGCCTATAATCTAAGCTACTTTGGAGGCTGAGGCAAGAGAATAATTTGAACCCAGGAGGCAAAGGCGAAGGTGACAGTGAGCTGAGATCATACCACTGTACCTCAGCCTGGACAACAGAGCGAGACTGTCTCAAAAAAAAAAAGAAGAAAAAAGAAAGAAAAGAGAGTTTAATTTCTTATGAGGAAACAGTAAAACAAATCACACTTTTAACTTAAATGGAAAAACATTATCATGCACAAAGTAAAATCATACAGGCATTCTGTCTGTTAATTCAACGTACATACCTTGAGTACTGGGCCTCCATATGAATGCTTTTAGAGAATAAAATGTAGAAATAAGCGAAGTCGAGATTGGGTACTAGAGAGCCATCTGATACCTGCCTTTGTGCCTCCAAGACAGTACTTGGTGTTAATAGCATATCGTGGCTGTCATCTTCATCTTTATTTATGCCTTTCCTCCTGCAGATTTCACTTCACTCTCATGCAGCTGAATTTGTTTGCATCTGACAGCATAGGACGTAAGGAAATGATTAACTCAGTCACTTGAGCCAGATCTCATATTACGAAGACATTTTAGATGATTCAATTAAATGTTAAATGTTAAATGCATTTAGTATTCAGTTCATACTAATAGCATATGAGGGCCCAGGACATAGAGATAATAAGAAAGAAGTTTAGTTGTTCTGAGCAGTTTCTTAGACCAGTTGAAGGGTTTCAGTTATTGAAACTTATGTAACTTAAAAAATGTAATAAAGGATAAGAACAGGACGACAGACAGTGTTATTTAATGAAAATCTGAGCAGGTCACTTTGTTTATACACCAATATATAAATCCTAATCAAAATGCCTTACTGTGTCTTTCAGACCAAATTTAGTTTCTAAAATTTTAGTTCTATTAAAATAAAGGCCTACTAGTATACTTTACAATAAGTGTAATAAGTGACTGTCTTTATTACTGGTAAGATGGAAAACATTTATTAAGAATCTTTTTCCTCTAGATATCATTTTTCATATATAAACTGAGTTTTAAACACAAGGATATTAGTACTGTTTTCAAATGAGACCTTGGAATAGAAGCTCTATCATTTTTTTCTAAGACTGAATGTTCTGACATGAAAGTGATTGCCTTCTTTTGTCAAATATTAACATTTGAACCATGGACAGACCTCTCGCTCTCTCCCACTCTTCTCATCTTAGCTCCATGGTGCAATGTATGGAAGTGGAATCTATCTTAGTCCAATGTCAAGCATATCATTTGGTTACTCAGGTAATCTTGTATTTCATTTCTTACTTCAAATTTGTTAGGTTTAAATTTTCTTATTGTTTATACTCCATGCACAGCTTTCTATTGTGCCTTATTAGGTATATTTTTATTAAATTTATTTGCTAAATATCAAAAGCAAAAACAAAGCTCAATGTCAAGATGAATTTATAGTACTATCCCTAGTGTATGAAACAGAATATATGTTTTGTCAATTAAAAAATATTTTATTTAATATTTCTTATATTTATTCCTTCCACAAATGAATATTGAGACTGTATTATATGCAAAGCACTATGCAGGGCACTAAGAAGTACACATACATAATAACTTTAAGTGTAATTCTATGTCATGTTAATTTCTTATTTTTGGATTATTATATTATCTATAAAGAAGTTTTGAACATTATGGAAACATTAGAAGTAGAAAAACACCCTCGAAATCACCTTTCTTTTTAACAACTTGTATATTTGGTGAGAATGTAGGAAAAAATACTTTGGAATAAATTGAAAGCTCGTGCTTTGAAGGAGCCTGGTGAGTTCAAAATACAAAAGAATGATCACCAAATTGTTAGCATTAGTTATCCCTGGTGGAATTTGTGATGTTTTCTTCTTTTCACTTTAACATTTTTGGAATATTTTATAATGATCAGTATGATTTATATAACGACTTACCTATTCTAGTTTAAATATAAAATAATTATGCTCATTGTAGAGATTCAAGCTGCCCAGAATTTTTGAAGAGCAAATGAAAATTTCTCTACTACAGCTTCAGTGTTCTGTGTATTTTCCTTCACATTTTTAAGTGGCTTTATATACATATAACTGCATATGTAATCAGTTTTCCTTGTGTGCTTGTATGTGTGTGTGTGAGATTATACAATCACATTACATGTATAGGAGATGTCATTCACATGGTGCCTGAATGGTAAATCTTAATATCCTCATGTTTTAGGAAAGGATACTTAGAGATCTGATAACTAGCTGAACATTAACGAGAACTACCTAATTCATTTACCAAAGTTCATGTTCTTCCAACCATAACAAGTTGTTTCGCAGTGATAGGAAACTTGGAATGCTTAAAACTGGATTTATAATTAGAAATACTAAAAGAAAACAGCAACATTGATAAATGCTGAAATGCTTATGAAAAGAAAACTTTAAAAAATTAGAAGGTTGCATGTTAACAAAAAAAAGAAAAATTGGGATAAAAACTATATGAAAAATTAAAATATAATCATTTAAGTAATAACCATTGTTGTTCAACAAAGCACCCTAACCTTAGGGCAAAACAACAACTTCATTAGGTTCATAGATTCTTTGGGTCAGGAATCTGGGGTGGGACTTGGCTAGGTGATTCTTTAGCCTCTTGAAGTATCCGCTGAGTGGCACTCAATTGATGGATGGACTACACTGGCAGGTCTGAGACAGCCTGACTCATATTCAAGAGTTGGGGAATTATACTCCATCTCTTGGTGGCAAAGAAATACTGTTGCAGTGATCTCTGAAAATATAATATGCCAAAATAACACTAAGAAAATAAAAACCAGGAAGTGTAAAATACTTTAGAGATAGGAAATGGAATAACAAAGAAGAAATTGATTAAAATCAGACTCTAAATCTTGCTAAAACAGTACAAAATAAAAGCTAAAAAATCAGCTTAAATAAATAAATACCTGCTCAGCATAAAGAAAAAACACAGCAAGTTATCAAAGTATTGTGATTTTCTGCTTTTTATACTGGTATATAGACACCTTTGATGGGCACATGGAAAGAATCGAGGAAAGGTATAAACTGTGTGAATGGATGTAAAAATTTGTCTGTGTATATGTGCATTTGTCTGGAGAGGGAGTACATAGGGTTTGTCAAATTCTTGAATGGCTCTTGATCTGAAACAAATGTAAGAGTCACTGAAGTAAGATGACATAGCATCAGTAGTTGATTTTGAAGGCTGAAAAGGTAGGGGTAAGAGAACAGGACAGCTTCTCTGCATATGCACCCTTTGCTTTTTGGTCAGAATTGTGTTTGAAATGCAAGGTCTTCTCAACCTGTCCCCATCCACCCCTGGACTTTTTCGGAAGGCCTGGAAAAGTTAAATACTTTATAAATTTGTAAACAGGCTTTTCCCCATCTTATTAAGCCATTTACTGAAACAACTACAAACATCAACATCTATCTTAACTTCTGGTTTAATAATAGATGAACACTTTCTAAAAAAGTATAGATACAAATCTACCTATTATAAAACAAATATATATTTTAGTTCTGCTTTTCTGAATTATCCACAGTAAGAAATTATGGCATTTACATAGTAAGCTAAGATTTGTGACTATCACAGGCAAAAAACCTTAATATAATTTGTCTTAATGAGAAGAAATGTTAAATTCTACATAGAATTTTTAAGTTATATTAATTTTATGCAGAAGAATTTTTATTCTTGCTTTCAATGCAAGAAAAAATAGACTCAGGTGCTGAGGGCACAGACCTTTGTTACTGTCTCTAGCCTGATGTGATCAAACTTTAGCTAGAATGGAACTTTTCATAGTAGGTGGATTGTACTTTGAGCCGCATCAGACAGCTTTGTCCCTAAATTATTATTTTGCTGATGTTTTCAGGGATGAACAAGAAACAGAAGGTGTCAGCCAAGGACGAGCCAGCTTCGAGCAGTAAAAGCAGCAATGCATCACAGGTGTTGTAGTGACTTGAGTGACTGCTTATGATTAGTGAACTGTGGCCTCATTAGCCAGCAGAACTTGGAAAAATAGGCTTTTTAAGTCTGCAAAATTATTTAGTGTGGTCATTACTTATAAAGGAATAAAACTCGCTCTGAGATGCAATAACTAAATTACCTCCACACGATGATTATTCGACAGATATTTATTATCTACCACTGTAATAGCAGAGATACTCCTAGACAGTAGAATACAGTGATGGCCAAAAGTAGACACGTATTCCAGTTCTCTTGCAGCCTACATTCTACTGAGGGATATAAATAAATAAAATACATATTTATATAGATAGAATGCTAGATATTATGAAGAAAAATAAATCAGTGACAGAAGACATTTAATGCTGTCTAGTGGAAGAGGGATCTGGGATGAATGTTAAATGGGATGGTCAGGAAAGGATATTCTAAGAAGGCGACATTTGAGTCAAGACCTACAGATGATGAGTGCATGAGTCATGTGCCTCTCTAGGAGAAAGAACATTCTGGGCAGAGAGGAGAATGACCATCAATCCCGTGTTGTTTCAGAGAAAGCAGGTATATTCTGGGCAAATTAAAAATTCATCTGATAAATAATGTTACTTTAAATTTTTAAAAAAGAGTATAGCTAATGTAATATCTGAAAACAAAAACATCCCAGTTTTTCTACATGAGATGTTCCTGAAACCTCTGTGACCTAGTAGATGATGCTATTAAAACATGGGTTGGTTTTGGATAGTTAGTTGATCTGAAGTAATTGATTTTGATGTTTGAAAAGATCATGCAAATTTAATTTTGTTTACCTTGAAATAAAGAGACCAAGCTTTTAGTAAAAATAATTCTAATTCTATGTTGTGAGGTTATTGAACCCTAATTTACATTTTTCAGTTCACTCATCTTAAGAATAATTTAGTAATGATTATGTACAGAAATTAAATGAGGCAACAAAAATAGTTTAATAGTAAGAGAATGCAAGGAAATTGATGGTAGTCTAAATAGGCCTCCCCCCCACCCGGAGCCATCTTAGTGACTATTATTTTTTAATGATGAACAGTTAGTTTTTTTACTATAGTGTTCCATTCTGACTCTAAGTTTTAATTTTTTTTTTGAAATTTAGTCACAGAAAAAAGGACAGCAATCTCAATTCTTGCAAAGCCGTAATTTAAAATGCATAGCCTTATGTGAAGGTAAGTTGAAAATTTTACAAACCTCATAGTGTTAGTTCCTACCTCATGTATAATTAAGAATATAAGTATATTTACAGAGTGCTTATAGTGGATTAGGGAAAGCATTAGTCCTTGTGACCATCTCAGAGGGCACAAATGCAAAAATGGATACAGTGAAGATCATAAAGGTTCAAACCAAATTGCAGAATTGGCAAGAATTCAAACAGTGATATATTTTATTTCTGGCAGATAATTCCAGAATGGTAATTATGTCTTTCTGATCAAGTAATCCTTATCTCTTTAGTTAATGTGCTACCTTCCTCTTAAAGTTGGTATTTGAATATATGATACGATGAAAAATGTGAAAGATGAACCAAGCACTGAGGAGATAACCTATTAGGTCTTCCTGTTCCTACACTGAAATTACTATTTTATTCTGTACTTAGGACAGAAAAATTGATGGGTGATTTGCAAGATCATATACCTTTCTTTGTTCTTGCTTTAAAATATGACTTGGGCTAAAAATTTATTTTTTCTTTTTGTGTTAGGAGTTTTAGTAACTACTGTCAACTGTCTTAAGTTTTCAACACACAGTGGTTATGTAGGACATGAACATACTTTCTACATAGTTCTTAAATCAAGACCTATCTTCTTTTTGTAATACTTAGATGAGTTCCTTTTTGTTATACCAGTTGTTATTTAAATTATAAAGTTGTTACATGGCCTTTCACTGTTTTTAACCTATATTTCTTGATAGACAGTAAGGTTAAACAATTTTCGTGTTTTCATTAATGCTTGTACTTGTGCTTTAGATTTCAAAGAGGAGGGATATATTAAGTTGGAATGGACTAGGATTCCTTTAGAATAAAGTGGTTCTTCACTTTTTTTTCCCACTTATAGTGATCACCTCACCCGACCTGCACAAACATGGAGAGATATGGGTTGTCCCCAATACTGACCATGTCTGCACACGATTCTTTTTCGTGTAAGTGTAAATGCTCAAATTTGTATGTTACTGTCTTTGCCACAAATGGGTTAGTGGTGACTGAATTATCGTTTGGTCTCTTTAGCTGGCAAGATATAACATGTAATTGATTTTATCATCAACTAATATTTTTGTTTTATTTTCAATAAAACATTAAAAAAATCTAAACAATGGTTAAATGCTATTAATTTAGAAGAGCTGATGAAAAACAGCTATTAACTTAGAACTAAAGAAAAACATCATCTTGGCTGGGCACAGTGGCTCATGTCTGTAATTGCAGCACTTTGGGAGGCCAAGGCAGGTGGATCACATGAGGTCAGGAGTTTGAGACCAGCCTGGCTAACATGATGGAACCCCGTCTCTACTAAAAATACAAAAATTAGGCGGGCATGGTGGTCCATGCCTGTAGTCCCAGCCACTTGGGAGATGAGGCAGGAGAAGAGTTTGAACCCGAGAGGTGGAGGTTTCAGTAAGCAAGGATAGCACCACTACAAACCAGCCTGGGTGACAAAGGGAGAATCTGTCTCAAAAAAAAAAAAAAAGAAGAAAAAACAAGAAAAGAAAAACATCATCTCTGTCTCTCTAACCATCTCTCTGTAGTATGTGTATGTATAGAAATAAATACATATACAAAAGTATATGTATGTATATACATACCATAAGTATACATACAAAAGTATACATATCTACATACATACAAGTATATATATACATACAAGTATACATACAAAAGTATACTTGTATGTATATATATACACATACATGCATATACTTTTATTTTTAAAATGTAGAACTGAGATGAAGAACACAATCATGAAAAGGTCTTCCTATAAAAGATTGATCTACATTCCATACAATATGGGCTGGCAGTGCGGTACATTTTGATGTGAGGTTTTTTTGGCACGACTGTGTCAAAAGAGCTACATTAAAATATAAAAGCATTATTTTTAATTCCTAAATAATGAGTGCAATAGACCAGTCTAGCTTTCACTCTACGCTTGGCTTCCAACCCTTTTCCCATGCCTTTCACACCTTATCCATGATCCTGTCACAGAAAGGATTTCAGGGGAGAATTGAGCGTATCTGTTTTGTACTTTATGTCGTTTTCTTAAAAGAAACTGAAAAATTGCTTCTTAAGATTGCTTCAGTATACTGCGTATCTCTAAAACCCTGCACATTCAGCATTGGATCTGTTGGCTTGTTGACAGACTATTCACAGTGAAACTTATGAGCTGCCTGGTTTTCTTTTGGATGATTTAAAAACTGTGATGGTTCTTACGATAGATATTTACTGGCTATAGATTTCTTTCTTAACAGTGAGGCAGCACTGAGTATAGTAGAAAGAGCCCTGCTTTTGATTAGATAGTTTGAATCCTGGCTGAATAATAATTAGTAAAGTGATATTGCCTAGATGTATAACCAGTCTAAGCTTCATCAGTAAAATGATAATAATGTTTATCATTTATGTATAATCATTTCTGTAATAATCATTTCTGTAATAATTTCTGTATCAGTCAGAATCCAAACAGGAAACAGATGACCCGTGAAAAATATTTCTGTGTCATCCACAATTAGATTATTTACAAGGTATGGTTATAGGGAAACCACTGGTCTTGTGTAGTACCCTGGATCTATTAGCACCAGAGCTGTTATACATTCCCAGGTACAAAAGGACACAGGCAGGAAGCAGTCGTGCTGGGAAGCTCCATTGGCCAAACCCTGCCAGAAGCTAGAGAACAGTGTAGCTTATTGAGAAAGTCCTTACAGGTCAGGCTCCTGGGGCAGAAGGACTCCAAGAGAATCCTGGGGGCTCCTAGAGAAGGTGTCTGCACACAGTGCCTTTAAAGGTTATTAAGAGGATTAATTTAGCACAATGCGGGCCTTGGCTACTGAAAAGATCATTAAATATTTTTTTCTCTCTTCTTTCTTCACTATCTTGATTGTTATCCACTATTAGATGCTTGGCCTTCCAAAAAGGAACCTTCAGTCACGAATTTATTTCATTGAGAAATCTTGAGATTTTGACAGAAAATTAACTCCAGAGTCCTTTTCTTAGCCTGTCATTGAATCAGTTCATCTACTCCTGCATCTTGCTAAAATGCAAATTAATCGAGCTAAATAAACAACCTTCGATATTTAAATAGACAGTACCATTCTTCTGAACTTTTAGATAAATTATACATAACGCCTATCTGTAGGGATTTAAGTGTTCTGGGGGTGTTTACTGGAGAAAAGCATTTCTGTATTTCATAAGCAAAAATTGAGGATAAATCATAAGAAAAGAGAAGTACACTCAGATATTTCCTAAATAATCTAAGGGAAAATATCATATTAAGATAATTTTCATTGCTTTATAAACACAAATGAGATTTCATCCTTTTTCTCTGAGACTTATTAAGGAAAATTGATAAATTCAAAACATATCAGAAGGAGAATCTATCCACTCATTAATGTGCATTCTAATTGCAACCATCAGTTTCTTTCTCTATGAAAGACATGATCGCAGAGTTCGACTAGTGGTGAGCCTCCCTAGCGCGTGGTAACACCTAGAAAAAGAATAAATCAATGAGAATGAAGATAAGACAAAAACTCAATTTCTTTTCTTTTTATTTTAATTTTTGATAAATTATGTGATCCTGGATGTTAGAAGCTTTGCCTAATGACTAGGATATGAGTTAATATGGTTATCTTTTTTTAAAATCGGTTATCAGGTAAAAATATTAAAAATTAAAATAACTCCCATGCTAATCTGATTTCTGCAGTTGAGATGATAAAAGTCACATAATATACTAATAACATGTTTGCCAACAAGTAAACAACACAGAATGAGAGAAAAATTGGAGGGAAATTTTAGTTAACAGGCTGGTGTATCAAAAAAATGAAAGTAAAATTTAAAGAAAGATAATCAATTTAAAAAAAAAGGGAAGAGGAGAATTAGAAGTTCAAAAAATTTTTGTTGCAAAATTCCAAAATGAAGAAATTTAATTAAATATAAGCGCTCCAGGCAAAATGTAATAGTTCAGATGTTATAAACAGATCCAAGCCAATTCCCAGTTTCTGGAAACTGTGAGTAAAGCTTGATTACATGACTAACCTTGAAATGTATGTGTACTAGGTCATTAAGACCCATATATAGAAATAAGGAAGCTGTTTTCAAAAGGGTTGGAGATGTGAATGTAAGAATGCATAAAATGCTCACGTTATAACTGTTTGGTGAGTATTTGCCTTGTAAGCCTACCAATACCTTACAACCAGTGTACAAATAGGAACCCATTATTTAAATTCCCTGGCCAACATCTCATCTTCTCCAATCTTTGCAGGAATTTTATACATCAAAGAAACTTGAAACCCAAGCTGCAGTTTTCCATTTCTTTTTCCTTGCTCACCATAGTCATCAATTCCCAAGTTTATCTTTTCACAATTTTCTCCCAATGCCTTTATTCCCATGGATATATTTTTCTTTCCCGCAGAGTACATCAAAAGGTTATTAGTTCTCTCTGTTTCTAATTTCTTCATCACTCTCAACCTCTTTTGTGCAATGCAAGATTTATTAAACATTACCATTATTACACTAGTGATATACCTCTTTAGTATTCAGAAATTGAAGATAAGCAAAAAAGGGAGAAAATGTCCCATATTATCCCCACTTAGAGTTAACTCGGATTAATATTTTGTTGTACAGCCTACATTCCTATGCTAATAAAATTCTAAGATCATACTATTTATACCATATTCATTTTCCTAAAGCAGTGTTGTGATTATTCTTTGCCCATACAGGCTGATAGTTAAATAAAAACATGGCATTCTGCAACATATAGAGCTCATTTTACCTTACTTCAGTTACATGCACAAAGCACTGATTAAGTGAAATTATTATCCAAGTTCTTTTGTTAAAACAACTTGAAGTTGTATTTTCCACTATTGTGCCTTTGCTCAGTCAATCCAAATGATTTGGCCTTCTTACCAGCTAGGCCATTAGCCTATTTTTTAAGGCTCATTGAAACATGGTCTTCTCCATGGCACCTTCCCTGACCTCCCAGTCCAAAATGAAATCTGTCTTTACTCTGAATTTTGCTCACCCTATGTTTAAACAGCTCAGGCTGCCTTGTCCTACAGTTAATTGTATAACCCTATTTTCTCCCTTAGTAAAGTACAGACTCTCTCTGTGCATGGGAATCCACATAATGACTTGTGCAGAACCACTTAATATTCATCGAATGAAGACAATGACAAAAGGCTGGATGGTCTAACTTAATGAAAAGATTATACATGCACTATGAAGCAGACTGTGTCCTTATAGTATCAGATTTTTTTTTGAGCCAGAGTCTCATTCTGTAGCCCAGGCTGGAGTACAGTGGCATGATCACAGCTTGCTACAGCCTCAACCCTCCAAGCACAAGAGATTCTCCTGTCTCAGCCTCCTGAGTAGGTGGGACTACAGATGTGCATACCACCATGCCCGGCTTTTTTTTTTTTTTTTTTTAAATTTGTAGAGATGAGATTTTGCTATGTTACTCAGGTGGGTCTCAAACTCCTGGGCTCGAGTGATCCTCCCGCTTCAGCCTCCCAAAGTGCTGGGATGACAAGTGCAAGTCACCATGCCTGGCAACATCAGATTTCTTATAGATACTTTGGATAAGTGATGGCTGTCAATCAGCTCACAACGAATTTCTTTTCTGTATTGCTTATGTAAAACAGTGCTATAGTTTCTGGGTTCCAGATATAGGGAGACTGAAACAGATTTACATGTGCCAATCTTAAACCTCTCACAAAAAAATGCTGTATCCATTTCAGAAGAAAAGTTTTCAATACTTTTAAGTTTTTACTCATGAAATGTTCTGACATACCTAAGAAATTTCCAGGCAGCTAAATTTCATCTAATATCCTAGTTTCTATTATTTTTAAAGCAAATTGGTTAATTTTTCACTAAAATTTTAGTAATCTTTTTACACTTCCTGGGAATATGAGTAGTTCTTATCTCCTTTTAGATGTTTCCATTTTTCATTCTACCAGATCCCAGTCCAATGTATCATCTTCCCTAGTGATATCATTCATGTTCTATTTCTTTTAAATTTTGTTGCTTTTCACACATAAATGAACTTTACTCTTAAATCATAAATAGCTGTGACATGTTCTGTAAATGCTATTGTAATAAATACCCTAATGCCACTAGCAACTTATATGTCTAAGCTTTGCCAGTTGCCCAAATTAAATGGATGTTTGATTTTTCTTGATTATTATGTATGCATCAAATTTAAGAAATCTGAATGCCTTTGACCAATTTTGTCCTTCAACCCACAATTGTTGTACTTTTTTGTGGGTTTCCTAGGCAGTAAAAAAATACCCACTTTATTTAATACTTTTAAGCATGCTTTCTCTCTCTCTCGGTCTTTCTTTTTCTCTCCCCACTGTCTCTCTGGTTCTCACTCTTGCCTTCATTCCCACTTTTGCTCTGTGCTCTCTCTTCTCCCTCTGTGCTCTTTCAGTCTTAAATTATTGTAATTTATTCAAATAATGTGAGTCTCATCTCTTCTCCACTAACTTCTAATGCTACATAACATTTGGGTAGATAAACCCTTCCATTTGACTGAAAAGAGTGATGGGGGAGCAATCAGGCATGACTGGAGAGGAAGTCTGGATTCGAATGAGGAAGGAACCGGTATTGTTGCCAGTAACTTGGATTTTGTTCTGTAAGTGAGGTGGAGGCCATTTTTCTATCGATTTTGCATAGGTGGGGAATAGGTCTTGTAGGAGAAATGATGGAAATAAGTGTAGAGACAGAGAGATCAGTTATAATGTTGTAATAACATTCTAGGTCAGTTTTTCTCACCACAAAAAGAAATGGTTTTGACATTGTGACTTAGAAAAATAATTTTATCTGTAGTGAAGTCAGTGTTCTTTATCCTATCCTATTCTATCCTAGTCATTTAAAATGCTGGTCTGGACAACCTAAATATTTCACAACCCACTAGTTATACTCAACCTGCAATTTGAAAATCACTCATTTACATGAATGACAGTGGAGGCCTAAACAAAGGTAATGGCATCAGGTAGACAGAGGATTTAGGAAAATGGAAGCGAGATGGCTTGGTGATTAATTGGGGTTAGGCACAAAGAAAGGCCAGGAATGACTAAAGGTTTTCTGTTGCTGTATGAGGATATATCACATTGAGATATGAATAGAATAAAAAGTAGCAGTCCTAGGGTCAAAAAATAAGGGCTTTGAATATACTTGAATTTGTGTTATCTGTAGGAAAGTTATGTAGAGAGAAAAATCTAAGGATAGGAGGTAGGTTTTAGGAATCAGCATGTGGGTGATAGTTAAAACTTGGAAGGGGCTGAAATAATTGAGTTTGCATATCATGAGAAGAGAGAAAACGGAGGTGTGATTCATGTATAAAACCATCACCGAAATGAAAGGCCAAGGAAGAGGATGCAATAAAAGTGACTGAGAATTAATCTCGGTAACAGAGCACTTACTGTCCTGAGAAAATATTTGTAATTGGGCTGTGTACCACATATCCCATTCTTTTTCTTAGGGTAATATTTTACCATGAGGTGTCATTGCCATGTATATGTAAATTGAACTTTTCTAAGTATATCTGAAACCACAAACTTACAGGGTAAGAATTAGCCAAATAGACAACCTTGAATTTAGTTAAGAATTTATACTTGGTACAAATGCAATTATCACTTGATGTTGAAGCAGTGGATTATGTAAGGAGCTAGGTTCTCTTTGCTGTGTGTCATCTTTTCATTTTCCTGTATTGTGCTATTTCAGGAAAAGATAGTGGCTAGTATTAATCTTTGAGACACTGTGCTTATATCCCTGGTTATCTGTTTTCAAGTCATTTCCACTTTTCTAAAGCTTCTGTCTTGAAGCCATTTTTATGAAGTAGAATTAATTTGTCATTTGTTCCCCTCTGAATATGATCATGAGAGCTTGAAAGTTCATTCTTAGGAAATTCTTATTGCCCAAGTAAGTTTATTTGAGAAAAATGAATTACCATCTAAAATGTAATTATTTCTTTTTAAAGAACTTAGTAATTGCTGTCCTTCTACTGCTGAAGTAAACTTAGCAGGCCTGCGTTCTTCTGTGAAGTGCCAGCATAAATAAGAATAGGTTACAGTCAGACTAAATAGTGCAACCAGTGATAAGAAAAAAGGGCAGCACTGGTTATGGGTGAATAATTATTAGAAAGCAGGCATGGCAAAGAAGCAGTGGCAGAAAGTGAAATGTCATCAGTCAGAAAATGAAGAAATGATTGAAGTAGGAGTAGAGTAAAGAAGTCCAGAACCTAAGCAACATAAAGTTAAAGCTGTTATATATTTTTTATAGTAGATTTCGTAGCAGCTGCTGTGGGAAATGCCTACAAGGTCAAAAACACTGAGGAGCTTCATGCAACAACTCAGACAGTGCTTTATGTGGGGATTTAAAAAATGCAAGAAAGGGGAAAATTTAGGCATGATATAAAATAATGGCCTGTTCTGTGTTTAGCAATGAGAACATATTGTTAAATACAACTGAAAAATAGCCATACAAACTTGCTTTGACTCTCTTGGGCTATATTTTAGGTATCAAATAGCACTTCTAAGCTGTTTTAAATGCTGCCATCTTTCAAAATGTTTTTATCTTTTTATGTTTCATATTTCAGCTATGAAGACGGCCAAGTGGGAGATGCAAATATTAATACACAAGAAGGAGGCATTCACAAAGAGATCCTCCGAGTAATTGGTAATCAAACTGCTACAGGTTAAAGGACCACCATTTAATTAACATGATCTGAAAGCCTTCCTCGGGTTCAAAGCTGGATTTTGAACTGAAGAAGATGATAAAATAATTTATTGTTATTATAAACAAAATTAACCCTTTGAATACTGATTTGTTTTTTCTTAGTATTTCTAAGTATCTCGTTAAATACCTAAAATGGTATAAAATTTATCAACTGTAGGGATATGGAATCTAGTAATAAAATTTCAACAGCACTTAAACTGAAGTTTGGGTTGCTCACACAATAAACAGATTGAAAAAACAGTTTTGTGCTGATATTTTTATATTAAGCTCTTTCACTGGATATTTGGTATTATATACCGACATTTTAGGTTACCAAAATAGAATTGAGAACATTTTATAATGGCGTCTAAATCTATCAGATACTTTGCAATAAGTATAATGTTTGCACATTCTGATGTGCTATATAATTAGTATGGGCATTCTAATGTTTTGGAAGGGATGTTCCCTATTCTTCTATTTTTCTTCATACAAAACAATTAGGTCTTAGTAGCAGTGCTTTGCCAAAAAGTGTGTAATATACACATTTATAGATTCATGCATCAAAATGTGTGGTTGTGAATATATTTGTGTATATTCACACGTATGTTTTGACAAGAAAGATGGCTTAACTTTACAATTTTATCCTCATTTAATGGAAAGAAGATAATATTTAATAAGCAGTAAATTTGGACATAAACCAAGATATGAGCCAAATTTACCACCATTCATTCACTGAAAATATTTGCAGACAATTTTTTTGCTTATCTAAAGAAAGTCAACTCTTTTAAAATGCTATCTAAAAGTCATAATTTGGGGAACATATGTGGCCTGGTAGACCAAACCTATATTCAAATGATTATATATTTAAAAGAAAGGCCTCAGAATTTAAAGAAACCATATATATTTTTTATTTACTACAACAAAACATTTTACAATTTTATTTATGCCACACCAGCATTTTTATATTTGTTCATCTAATACCTCTGCTTATTTTTTTTCATATTGAGAAAGAACACAAACTTTGAAGCTTCTTTTATATTAAAAGACCACAAATACGTTTATAGAGAACAATAACACCAGCTCTCAGCATTTCCTTTTCAAGAGTCATAATTTCATCAAAATCATTTCTTATTCTTTGAGTCCTAGAGTTCTCATTCATCAAGTTTTAATTGACAGTGTTTATTTTCCTACATGTTGTCTTTGGAATAAGGCCATTCGTGAAAGCAGTTTAATTAGTGAGTCTGCCACTCTATTCAAACCCTGAATCAAGGCTCTATCTGATTTTAATTTATGTCGAAAGAAAAAATAAAAATGTATAGTCATTTGCAAGTATAATATGATAACTGCTGTGTTTATTTCGTTTGTCTGGCATAAAAGGTTAGAAAAAGGTCATACGTGTTGTTACGGGTTGCAGTTTAGGAAGTATTTGCTAATCATTTGTTTTATTATATTGCAAATAATTGATATGCCACTTATTTCTGCAAAAAATAAATAGAATTGAAGTGGTTGGGATGTTAATCATTTTGTTAGTATCTACTTAAAACATTGATCTGTTTTGACTTGTGCCTCTGAACTCTGGGCTAAGCTGAGGGATATTAGTAATGGGGTAGGGCAAAGGTATAATATCCTGTCTAGTGTTTTGTGACCACTTATTTGAAGATTAGCGTGGGACATGAGGACCACTTGCTTTTTTCTGCCAAGATGCTGCAAGTCTCCCAGATCACTTTAACTGTGTTTTTAAAACATTTTTAAGCAACAGAATTATTTTTTCAAATTAATTTTGTGGGACAGTCTATACATGAGAAACATGAAAATGTAATACCAAGATTTGGGAGAGGGGATCTTGGAATGCCACCTGTTTGGCCACGAGGACCACTGAGCACCTCCGATAAGCTCTGTAGAGTGCCTCCAGCATAGTTTAAAAGCCGCTAACCTAATCCATTATGGCTTTACTTAACATTTGAATGATCTGTAAGGAATATAGTATTGAAGTCTGAACTGGAAGGGTAACTTGTAGGACTCAAGAAAGGCTGTTTAAGGAAAATTGGCATAATAAAAACTGCTGCTGCTGACTTAAGAATATGAGTAGGTTCACCAATCAGAGGAGATTAAGTAGTTGATAGTTTAATGCTAGGCATCTTTTATGATAATAAAATAAGATGTCTTGTTAGGACAGTTAATTGTGTTGTGTCATGATGCAGAATGACAGATTTTGTTTCAAAAAATTGTGTCAGAACCTTTGTAAGCAACTAGTCTAAGAAGAATCAGCCTTATTTTTAAATTGAACTTTTTGAAATTAGGGATACTATAATATACTGACAAAGATGCTTTTCTGTATTTCTAAAGAATCTAATTTCAATTACTACCATTGGCATATTAATATGCTTCCAAAATCCAAACAGGTCCATACACTTTATAGATTTAAACACTGTTATCATGCTTTGATTCAGTCATTCATTAAAATATTATCTATTGACTTATTTGATGCTTCCAAACATTTGATATTGTATTGTGTTTTTATAATTATTTGAAATCTGTTCACTGATGCTTTGTAACGATTTTATTAATTGTGTAGCCATTGCTACTTAGATAGCAACCCACTGAGCGAAGGCAGTCATTCATTTTCACCCTTGAAGTAGGGGAAGAAAATTATTAATTTATTAGCTCTACTTTTTCCTGCATCACTGATTTTGTAAACATTTTACTATTAATAATCTGTTCTCTTTTACTGTATTAAATGAGAAGGAAATGAACATTTGAGAACAGAAAACAGTAATAATATACAAATAATCTAGTGCTATAAAATGCATTATAGTAAGGCACTTTTGGTGCCTTTGAGTACACTATGCTGGAATGAATTTTATGCTTGTTGCTCAGTAAATCTCAGTCACATGTTGGGTTTGAAGCTGTTTCTTTAATTTAAAATTTAATTTTAATAGTGCCAAATTTTAAAGTTATTGTCAAATACTATGTAGTATAAAAGAAAACCAACCCAAACTATTGTTAATGCTCTGAATGATTTTCTTTGAAAATTTTAAGTTTAGAGAAGAAATTCTTTCATTTTTCTCCCCTTTGCTAAAAGTAAGAAAATCTGTAATATGTAAGTCTATGAATCTTTAAATAACTGAAAGAATTTTAGCAGTACTTTGTATAATAAAAATATTTTTAAAACTATAACTTGCCTTAGACCATGGGATTTCAGAAAGTTTTATCGAAAAACTCATCATCCTCATTAAAAAGTCTGGATAACTTCATCAGATAGTAATTTAATATGTCATGAAGGGGCCACTCAACATTGGATCATCTACCATCTCAATAAATATGGATTTCATGGTGGCATTTGAAGCACATTTTGCAAACATTATGATGTTTCTATTGTCTTGCTGAATTTTTATTATAACACTACCTCAAGACAAATGATAGACTGTTGGTAAGGTAAATTGGGTTTTCAATGTAAGGAACAAATACAAATTTACAAATAGAAGTCATCAAATAATTCAACAGTAAGACCATACTGGACACAGATGTCAGCTACTTCTGGACAATGTGGTAACATGGATATTTCAGTCACTGGTAACATATGACAGGGTTAACACCCAATACATTATTTGAAAGAATTTGGATTGCAAAATTTGAAATTAATTAGTTTATTTTGAGATTGGTTTTCTACCTGGGTCAATTTTATGTCCATTACCTAAACCCACAATCGCCCACTCTAAAGAGTTAAAGGAGGAAAACACCCAACTGCTACACTAGAATTGCAGACGGAATATTCAAGCATTTTGGCGTTTAATGTCTGCTAAATTTTTGTCAGATTATATATATATATGATGTATATTATTACTCAGTAAATTTTTCTTGGGAATTTTGTATACACTATGAAATATTAGGCTAAGTTTTTGTAGGTCAAAAGAATTTCAAGTAGTTTTTAGACAAAACATATCCATGAGTGTGAAAAAAGCAGTGTTGAAGAACAGATTACATTACACATTTACCAGCAAGTCAGTAAAAAATAGTGCTTATTTACATAGTCAATATAATTTAATGTTCTAAAAATAATGTCTTCAATCTGCCCAATATATAATGTATCATTTGAGATTTTTAAAAATGCAGCCACTCCTTTATGTAAACATTAAGATATGCCTATGTTTCTTTAATGATACAGCCTCTTTATAATAAATTTCTTGATTTTTGTGCACAGAATAGTATTGCAACCTGCCAGCCTTTGGTGCCTTAGAATTATTATGAATATTTAACAATATGTACATAATGTAAATAACTGCCAAGAGATCAGTGAGGCCAGATATTTTCTCTATTCACTTTTTATTGCTCTTGCTTTCTATTGCTATTAAAGCCTCTTTTATCCAGCTTTGTAATAGTTCCAACATTGTAGCCAATGTAAATGTTTACTTTCAATAAATCTGAATTTGTTTAACAAGTACGGTATATGTGGGCAGTATTTTGAAAACTCAGGCTTTAGATTCTCCTCTTGATGAATCTTGCTTCTAGGGACTATGTAGTTGAAGGACTCAAGAAACTAAAACTGACGTTGCCCTTTTTATTTTTAAGATGAAGGAAAAAAAGAAAAAAACCTCTTTTCATTATTCCCCATGTCGTTTCAACAGATTTAAATTGATCCTATGAGTGCCGTTTTAATTTCAAATTCTGTCAAGAAGTATAGCATTGAAACAAAAGATTATTTTATGTTTGTTTGTGTGTCAATTTGTAACACCTGGACATAATATCTAAAGGAGCATTTCAAATGAACTGTCCTGAATTTTCTAAGCGTTTTTGACCTAGAAAATAATCAGAAAATGATTTTTAAAGCATTACTTTTTATAAAATACATCTTATTAATTGAATAAGACCTTAGTCCATAAATAAATATGGTTCTCTAAACCCATTAATAGTAAATATGTATGAGAAGCTTACTGTACATTCTTACAATAAGTAAATTTTTTTTTACTCATGATAGAGTCATAACTGAGAAACTTTAGATAGCAAAGTTCTTTTGTAAGACTTGATTTCAGTTACTCTAGAAATACTTGTTGGGATTCTAGCATGCATTTTTGACAGTACAAGGACTAGAGAGTATTAGATTTTATCTTGCCCTTAAGGAACCTTCAATTCTTTTGTAAAAAGAAAGCAAATACATTTGGAAATAATTCAAGGATAGTACAAGATGAACAATGCAGAATGGAAAAGACAAATGCAAGCAAAACTTGGGGGAAAGAACAAGCCATTGCGTTAGTTGAAATGAAAACTCCCTTTAATATTTTGAATGCTTAAATTAGTACTAATGAGTAATGTTGTTAATATTATTAATTTCCATTTACTTATTCACCAGACACTTCACAATTCTAAAACAAAATCTAATACTCTGTTGGCCCTTATACTGACTGTCAAGGTGCGCACTGGGCTCTTAACAAGTATTTCTAGAGTGAATGGAATCAAGACATGCCCTTTGTTGTTGATAATACATATATTAGAAAGCACTTAATTTTTGGTTGATTTTTCAAATTTTTAATGATGTTTATTACTCCTGTGACACTTATCTGTCCTCTTCATGGAAGCTGGACAGAGTGTGGTTCTAACTCTTCCATTAGCTTCGTTTACCTTGCCCAGTCCCCTTACTTTTAATGGCCACTGGCTAGTCTGATAAAATCACCCAGTGCTTTTAAGAATCATACAGGAGGCTTTATTGGAAAGCCAATGTTAAGAATTACTTAAAAGGTACTGGATTTATTTCACCTCTATTTCTGTTCCCAACTTCCGGGTCCCTCTTTTTAATTATTTCAAATAACAGTGATTTGTAATGCAAATCTAAGAAGACTGATCTTTTCAAACATAACCTACTTGTTTTTTGTTTTTTAAACATGTATTCTTCGTTTTCAGATAGATAAGAGAAAATTTTGATTAAACAGTTTTTCCTTTATATAGCACTTTATAATGTAGAAAGCACTTTCATATCGATTATCTTATTTCTTCTCCAAAATAACTCTATGAAATGTGTTAGTAGGTATCCTGGTCTTATGGATGAGAAGCTAATCACTTGCCAATGAGGTCACTATGCTCCAAACCTAGCATCAGGGATTCTGAGTCTCATCTCTGAGCTTTCTAATAAACCAGACTTATTACTGCTGAGATCCCAGCTTGTTAAAACTCATAGCAAAGGTAAGAATTATAGGAGACTAGTGGGAAGAGTCAATGAAGAGGGAGTGCTGACTGCCTTGAAGAGCTCTATCAGGGAAACCTGAAATACCATTGCATAGGCTGGATGTGATTTTATTCCACAGAGCTTGGAAGGAAAGAAGTCTGCACTTGATGCAATTGGCAATGGAAAAATCATTGTCAGCCCTTGGGTGAGTGACATGAAGTGGAGTTTTGAAAGCATGTTGGCAGCTCTATGCAGAAAGCAAGGAGAAATGTTACATATCTCTTGTGGTAATTCTGACAGGAATGAAGGCTTAGAGAAGAAGAACCGAGAAAAGAATGGATATAAGAAATAAGATATAGGAAAAAGCAGTCAATTAGGAAACAGAGATCTTATTTATAATAATACAAACTGAGAATAATTTCCCCCTTGATTTTTTATTGGAGATCAATTAAGATTCTTCCATACCTTTTAGTATTCTGAGGACTGATGAAGACAATGGCTTGGCTATGCTGGCTCTACACTAAGAAGCCTGTGAGCACATACTCAGCCATGTGAAGGGAAAGAAGAGAGAAGGAATATTCTGATTCACATAGGGGCATGTTTGAGAACAAATCTCCCCTATACCTGTAAAACCAGGCTTACTAAATACTGAGAGCTGTAAGAGAATGGCTGCAGTAGTGCAGTAAATCTCATGTTTGTTTTAATGTGATTTATTATTTCCAAGATGTGTGTGTGTGTGTGTGTGTGTGTGTGTGTGTGTGTGTGTGTGTTTACGAGATGCATTCTAGCCTGGGGAACACAGCACTCACCACCCAGGATGGTGGCATCCCAATCTTTATACTCCACTTGAAAGACAAAACCCACTGTGCATTCACTCCAACTCTGACCTGCAGTCTGATGATTCTTAAATCTGCAGCTCTTGTTTATATTTTTTCCTTGAGCTTCAAAGTTACATGATCAAACACCTCCAAACAAACATCTCTTCCTGAATGTTCCAGGGATACCTCAAACTCTAACCATTGTCCCCACCCCCAACCATTCCTTTTTTTTTTTTTTTTTCCGGAGACAGAGTTTCACTCTTGTTGCCCAGGCTGCAGTGCGATGGTGCAATCTGCTCACCGCAAACTCCTCCCAGGTTTAAGTGATTCTCCTGCCTCAGCCTCCTGAGTAGCTGGGATTACAGGCATGTGCCACCACACCCAGCTCATTTTGTATTTTTAGTAGAGACAGTGTTCTTCCATGTTGGTCAGACTGGTCTCAAACTCCCAACCTCAGGTGATCTGCCCACTTCGGCCTCCCAAAGTGTTAGGATTACAGGCGTGAGCCACCGCGCCCAGCCTCCATCCCCCACCATTCTACTACTATTCTTGCACTGCTATCGTTGTTATCATTGAACCAGTGAATAGCCACATCTTCCACTCATTTGCCCAACTGGGAAGATAAATTATCGCCTCTCCCCTTCCCTTTCACCCAGTCCCATCCTCCAATGAATAGCTAAGCCTTGTTAATTTTTCTTGTTGAGTGTCTTGATGGGTTCAACAATCTCAATCCCTCCTGTGACTTCCTTTGCTAACATTCATGTAGGTGACGGCACTATCCTCCAGGCGGCTCTCCTTGACTGAGACCAGTACCCTTTACCAGGAACAAATTCAGCTAGCACATAGTACAGACTTATGATTGGTAAGATACTGAATGCCTCTGTGTATTAGTAAATAGATACTATATCCAGTGTCATATTGCCCAGATGCAGCAACAATGTTAGCTTAGCCACACATAGGACCTTCCTCCTGGTACTTCCGTCCCTGCTAAATAGGCTATGAATGGCTCTGCCTCCTTCCTGACCCACCATTCTCATAATGCTGAAATTAAAGTGATCTTACTAAAATGAAAATCCAATTTTGTAATTCCTTTGCTTAAAATCCCTTCAATATCTCCCAAGTTCTCACTCAGTAAAAATTTCTCACCAAGGCTTTCACACGTGAGCCTTCATGGTCAGGCCCCTGCTTCCCTCTCTTCCCTCTCCAGCCTCGTTTTTCACCACCACCTTTCACTCAGCATTGCAACCCCACTGAATTCTTGGCAGTTCTGAGAACGGCCCATTGCTTCCCACCTCCTCTTACTTGCTTTTTCTTTTTGCCCCACTCCCCATTTCCAATTTATACTTCTTTTGACTCTCAACTTATTCCCAGTCTAGACCAAACCGTCCTTCTAGATCTTTTCCAAGTATCTGGCCGTCGTTCATCTCACTTAGCACACAGTGTTGAAAAGGTTTATTGATCTGCCTGTTTCTTTTTTTTCTCCCTGGCTACCTGTCCTCCATGCCACCATGCACAGATTATTTCCAGTAGCTACTAAATGTTTGAGACTTAAGTGGATGTACGCATGCACAGTAATACAAATGTCTATCTCAGAAAAACAGTCTTCAAATAAAGTGGCATTAAAGCTGAAAATCTTTATATATGTCTTATATTGGTACATACTAGATTCATAAATCTAAATCAATACCCATGGTGGGGACATGTCAAGCCAAGGTTATCGCTCTCCTAGTCAACATCATCACTATCATCCTGAGCATCATTTCCAGCTCTATCACCTGCAGGAAAATGTAGAAATCCCATAATGCTGGTAACATACACACTCTCTGTCACTCTTGAAGTATGCATTTTCATTTTAACTTTAGATCAAGCAATACCTGGATTGGAAGGTCACTGTGAGGACCCAGAATGAAACATAAAACTAGATACTTAGAAATTTATAATTTAACATCAGTCATTTGCATAACCAAAGGGTCATTGCTTTGCTAAATAATTACCTTAAATAATGAGCTTCCCTAGCATACTTGATTTCATTTACAGGTCATTAACTACTTGACATACAAGAGAGAGAGCTACTTTAAGCCATAGTACTAATATTCATTACCAATAAAAATAAATCATTGATGAAATTAAGCACATCTATAAGTCAATGGAAGTTTCTTCCAAAGGAATTGCATTCTTCTAACATAGTATAAATTGTAACTAACCTGAATTTTATTACACATTTTTCTCTGTCAACATCTAACTTAATTTTTGCAGCTCTGTAATTGGGAACACTTCTATTCTTTATGTGTTTCCTGGTTAACTTCTGGGATACATATTTCTTAATAGCTGTAGGCTTACAGCATAGTCAATTTTCTAATTCTAATATACAGCAGCTCAGGAGTGGGATAGTTTTCTGTAGTGTATTATTTGGATTCTTTCTCTTTGAGTTGTTGCCCGTTGCAAATCTACCCATAATTCAAGGTC